GACGTGTGTTGCAGGTGGAGGCGCTGCAGGCGGAGAGCGCGGCCCCGGCCCCCGGGCAACGGCAGAGCCTGTCGCTGAGGTGAGGAGGGGTGGCGGCTTCCTAGGTGTCAGGGGCTGAGCTGCCTTTCGGTGGGAACAGGCACGTGGCAGGGAACAGCCAGCTGAGCTGCCCTATAAGCACGTACTGGTGTTTGTCAGAGAGCTGGGTGAAGGGCTGAGTATCTAAACTGGCGTATTTCGGTGAGCAACAGGTATGTCAGCAGTAACTGTGGGCCCACTCTAGAAGGAAACAGGGGATCTGGCCGTGCAGGACACAGAGAAGGCTGAGGTACTCAATGGCTACTTTGTCTCAGTCTTCACTGGCAATGGTCACACCATCAAAGTTAAAGAAGGCAAAGGCATGGACTATGAAAAGGAAGATTTCCCCACTGTAGGAGAAGAGCAGGTTCACCACCATCTGAGGGACCTGAAGGTGCACAATTTCATGGGACCTGGTAGGATTCATCCACAACTCCTGAAGAAACTGGCTGATGAAGTTGCACAGCCTCTGTCCATCCTATTTGAAAAGTCTTAGCAGTCTGGAGAAATTCCCACTGACGGGAAAAGGGGAAACATAACTCCCATTTTTAAGAAGGGAAAAAAGGAAGACCCAGGGAACTGCAGAGCCATCAGTCTCACCTCTGTGCCTGGCAAGATCATGGAGCAGATCCTCCTGAAGGCTCTGCTAAGGCACGTGGAAAGCAGCATGGCTTCACCAAGGACAAATCCTGCCTGACTAATTTGGTGGCCTTTTACAATGGGGTCACTGCATTGGTGGACAAAGGCAGAGCAACAAACCTCATCTACCTGGACCTCTGCAAAGCTTTTGACACTGTCCTGCACAACATCCTGGATTCTATGGATGGACCACTCACAGCTATCTGGATGGTCATACTCAATAAGTGGTGATCAACAGCTCAATGTCCAAATGGAGACCTGTGACCAAGTGGTGTTCCCCAAGGGCTGGTACTCAGAGTGGTGCTGTTTAACATCTTTGTCAGCAACACAGGCAGTGGCATTGAGTGCACCCTCAGCAAGTTTGCTGACGACACCGAAGTGTGTGGTGAGGTTGACAATCTGAAGGGAAGGGATGCCATCTAGAGGGACCTTGACAGGCTTGAGAGGTGGGCTTATGCAAACTGCATGAAGTTCAACAAGGCTGAGTGCAAGGTTCTGCACCTGGATCGGGGCAATCCCAAGCACAGACACAGGCTGGGTGGAGAATGGATGAAAACAGTCTGGAGGAGAAGGACATGGAGTGATGTTGGATGAAAAGCTCAACGTGGGCTGACAATGTGCACTTGCAGTCCAGAAAGCTGACATTATCCTGGGCTGCATCAAAAGAAGTGTGGCCTGCAGGTTAAGGGAACTGATTCTCCCCCTTTACTCGGCTCTCATGAGATCCTACTTGGATACTGTGTCCAGTTCTGGAGCCTCCAACACAGGAAGGACATGGACCTCCCGGAGAAAGTCCAGAGGAGGGCCACAAATATGATCAGGAGGCTGGAGCACCACTCCCATGAAGACAGGCTGAGAGAGTTGGTGCTATTCTGCCTGGAGAAGAGAAGGCTCTGGGGAGACCTCATAGTGGCCTTCCAGTATGTGAAGGGGCTACAGGAAAGCTGGAGAGGGAGTTTTTAGAAGGTAATGGATCAAAACTGGAAAAGGGAAGATTAAAGTTAGACATTAGGAAGAAATTATTTAGTGTGAGGGAGGTGAGACAATGGAACAGGTTGCCTAGGGAATTTGTGGAAACCCCATCCCTGGAAGTGTTCAAGGCCAGGTTGGATGGGGTTCTGAGCAACCTGATCTAGTGGGAGGTGTCCCTACCCATGCAGAGGGGTTGGAACAAGATAATCTTTAAGGTCCCTTCCAACTCATACCATTCTGTGTTGCTATGATTCTCTGATTTGGGACACCCCTCTGTCAGACATTTCAGATAATGCCATCTGCCTGTCTTGCTTTCCATGCAGATGTATGGAGCTGAAGAAATTGGTGGATGAGAATACAAATGCTCTTCATTATTTGAAAAAAGTAAGTGTGGGAACCAATTTGGTAATGTTTTTCTCCAAAATGCATCACAATGTTTAGAGAGCGCCAGCCCCCTTTGACTTTAGGTGCCTCTAGAGCAATACCTTGCACTGCACAACCCGTAGCTGGGCTCTCTGAAGTCCATTTATATGTTAGTTAACATCCTATTTTTAATGCTTGAGCGTGTACAAGTTCTGTGCTTAAAATATTTATCAACCCAGTATGTTACAATGCCCTGTACTGGGAGCAGAGAATGCTGATTTGAAAAGTCACACAAAATTTCATCGTGGCAGAGAAAAAGGGCAAAGAAGATGTCTCCAAACAGGGAGTGACAGCAGCCAGGGAACATGAAAGCTCATAAGACATGTCTGGGAAACTAACTTCATATGGGAACTTTGCTTCATGGAGCATTTTGTTATTTTCTTCTTTCTCAGGCTGATGAGCCTGCACCTGTGGGGAATTATAACCAGAGGAAAGAAGAAGAAGAAAAGCTACTACATAAACTCTCTCAGCAACTTCAGAAACTTGTTCTTACCTTGGATCAGGACAAGGTGGCTATGAATGATGGAGTGTAAGTAGCTTAAATAAATAAAATCTGCACTTTTGTAGAATTGTACATGTACAGTTGGAAAGGACTGTGAAAAATTGTTAGCTCATGCCCTTTTTTATTTTAACACACAGTTGAAAAAGAAGTGCTGAAGAGCCAGCTCTCATGGGGCTTGTTTTCTTGATGCAGCCATGAACAACGCGCTGGAATTTCCCGAGGGTGTTGGTTAATGGCTGAAATATGATGTGATTGTTGAGAGGGGAGGATGCAATGGGGTCTGTGTGCTTAGAGAGGAAAAAACGTTGGGATTTTGGAATTTTTTCAGTTCAGGAGTGAAACCCAGGAATGAAGGTTCTGTATCTGGATAATGTCCTTGCAGAGAAGCCTGTACTGCAAGCCTTTACAGGAATTCCCAGATGTTTTGTTAAAAATTTTTAAAATTTTATTTATTTTGGGTAGGGCTGGGGAGAGCCGGGAAGATCCTCAAACAGAAGACGAAAATGGAAAAGAGGATGAGAGTGAAGATGAAGAAAGTAGTGAGGAGGAAGAGAGTGAAGAAACAGATGATGATGAGGATGAATTGTTGAATGATCCAAATGTTAAAGAATGTGTTGCAGTTGGAAACTTCAGTGCACAGCAGGAAGGGGATCTCGCGTTTACGGTAAATATGTCTCTCAAAGGTTTTTGGCTGCAGATCATTCTGTATAAAGCAGTCCCTAATTAAAAGCTGTGCTGCTTGTTCCTCATGGGACTCAGGGAGAAATGGCTTTTCCTGGTGTCCATTTGGCTTGGTGGAGTCCCGTGTCCTTTTGCCACCTTCTGCGGTGGCAGGGTGTGTCACAGCAGTCTGTGACCTCTCTGTTGGGGCAAAAATTAAGCTTTTGTGCTGTCGGTTTGTTTTTAATGTCCTGGAGCTATTTTGAAATCCTGAATTGTCTTTTGTCCCTGTCTCTCCTTCTAATGGCAAAGAAAGGTGAAGTCCTACATATTCATGAGAAGAAGGTGGATGGCTGGTGGGTAGCTGAAAACTCCAAAGGGGAGAGAGGCCTCGTTCCTAGAACCTACCTTGCGGTTAGTGCGCTAAAGTTTCCTGTTCTGGTCTCAGCTCTGTTATCTTGTATACACTGATGATGATAATTGAGCTGCATAAAATTGATCCCCATGCTTACATGGGGACAGATGTGACAGGTAAGTGCAGAGGAGTTTCTTGAATATGAAAGTTATAATCTTTGTCACTAAAAGTCAATCCTGAAGACTCCAAGCTGCCATGGAGAAATCCAGTCTTTTTGTGGTTTACATAAAATGTGAGTTCTGCAGTACAAAACTTTAAAAATTTGATTTTTAAAGCTTTGTAACTTCTTTTTTTCTTAATTTTTTGAGGTGCTTACACATGCCAACTTATGTACTTATGAACATAGATAGCCAGTGGTGAATTGTGGTGAACACTTAAATATGGGTACACAGTTTGGACTGAGTGATCAGGTGGAACAGAGCTTTTCTCAATGTAAATAAACAACATGCTGAGTAGCTAGCTTTTTATTTCATGATGCCAGTGTATCTCTCTTTTTAAACATTCCACTTTGCAAATGCATTCCCTGACTTGTAGGAATACTCCAGTCCCTGTAGCTGCAGAACTCGGGGGCAGTGTTCTACACTTACGGTGCTCTGTTGCAATACATCACAGAAAATCTCCTAAGCTATTAACATGTGCTATGGTTGGATCAAGTGTTTTTCAGAACAGAGCTGTGAAGAAATCAAGCACTTTGCTGTATTGAATCTGAATTGCAGGTCCGACGTGAAGATAGTGAAAGCCAAGAGCGAAGTGGAGAACACATCGAAGTGGTGGATGAAACAGCAGATGGAACTGAAATTAAAAAAAGGTAAATGCAGTGATGTGAAAGCAAAGTAGTATAGAATTATTCTTCCTCCTCTATAAATGTTGCAAAGGTGGTTTGTTCTCTGCATTTTTCTTTTTGCTACAGCAGTCACTTTTTGTCCACTTTGCAGACACACTTTAACTTGAAAGGGTTTGTTGGGGAGTTTTTCCTTTCGTTTCCTTTTTTTTTTAAACCCCTCATAAAATCAAAGAATGACTGGGTCATGTGTCAAGCTATGTTCCAGCTCATGAAACAGTCTAGCAATAAGTCTTAATGACTGGAAATATGTCATTGTTAGTTTCTTAAATAGGATATGGTTATTAAGCTGCTGCTATTTGAAAACAAACCAATATGTAGGATTTAAAGTTTTGCCCACACGAGGATGATATGTTATTAAAATTACATTATTTTTTTTCCAGAACAGATTCTCATTGGAGCGCTGCAAGAAGAGCCATTGCAGAGGTAGGTGTATTTCTTTTATAGCAACTTCACCTACTCTAGCGTTAATTATTTTGTAGACAAGGTTTGCCTTTTACCAAACACCATTTCTTCTATTACAGGTCATTATTTTTAAAGTAACATTTCTGTTTTGTTTTTCGTAGCAAGAAATGCTACAAATTAGGGTAGAAATAGCTGTGAAATAGCAGGAACACTAGTATCCATTTTTCTTTCTTTTATTTTTTAATAGAATGACACAGTAGAGGTACTGGCAACCATAGGAGCAGTTCCTGCAGGATTCCGCCTATCCACACTTTTCCAGCTCTTAGAAGAAGGTAAGGTTTTCTCCTCAAAATTGCAGTGCAGGATTCTCACGTGTCTGTGATGAGTTTCTTATCCTGGTTATTGGCCTATTGGACTTAAATCAGTCTTGCTTAATTATATTTGTTAATTTGTACAGGCTGTGTTTGACCATTGATCAAATAGTGTATAAAAGGTGTTTTTTTGTTCTGCAATTAATTTTTGTCTGTGTGAAAACCTGGCCACATGGAGGCAATGACAGATTGTCTAATGATTTCAAAGATTTTTCTCTTCCTGTTGACATTGCAGAAAATTATTATTTTTTTCATCTTCTCTTTTTCCTGGACATTTTTTTGAGTTTCTTCACCAAGACTATTTTCTTACCCCTTTTGTTTAAAACTCTTTCAAGTCAGAAGCTCGTTTTGTTAATTAAATTACTGTGCTTCTGGAATGAAATACTGCAGAACAACTAAAAGTAGTGAAAGTATCCTTTTTAAAGGTGTCTGTAGAAGATACCTCCATCATTTTGTTTGGACTAGTCAACACTGAAATAGACTTCAACCACATCTCAATTTTGGATGTTGTTCATTTTGTGGCAATAAGGATAAAAATAAAAAAAAAGAATTAAAAAAATTCTCTTGTTGTAGGCAATCAATTTCGAGCCAGTTACTTCTTGAAGCCTGAACTTACTCCTTCCCAGTTGGCTTTCAAAGACTTGGTGTGGAACTCTGAAAAAAATACTGTGAGTATAACTGCTAAGAAAGATACGATGCTTTTGGTTTGAGAGAAATTATGAGATCTGTAGATGTGAATAGCCAGCAGTTTGTCACACTGGTGGGTACATTTTGCTGTGAAACAGAGGATGGATTTTCATGTCAGCCTAAGACTCCTTAGGCAGTAGATGTTATCACATCCTACCCTCTAACAGGCAAAAAATGGGTACAAGTTTTCATTTTGAGTATCTTACAAGAGTCACGTTTCATCTTAAATGTGTGCGTTCCTTCCCTGTCTGGGATGAAGCAGATCTGCATGGGTGACTGGTCTGAATTTTTAAACCATGAATTTCTGCTAGGCACTGTGAAATCACCAACTCCCTTTTGTATTCTTTCATTTTAGCTAATGATTATGTCTTGATTTGCACCATTTTTAGAATATTTGGTTCTTCTCAAACTTTGACAAGACCTTCTATCTGTCACACTAAAATATTTGCAGCAGTCTTCTCAGAAGAGAGCAAAAGACTTATGAGGAAGGTTTGCTGCTGCTGCTAGTATTACAGAAGCTTTGTGGGTAGAATAATTCAGTCTAGCAAACACTTCACTTGACCACCTCAGTAACTAAACACAAACTGGTGCCATGTGCAGGAGGAGCCTGTAGATTTACTTCTTCTGTTTTCTGCATTTCAGATCTATCCTCGACCGACTCGAGTGTCCCTGATTGTAACGTTATGTAGCTGTAAAATGATTCCCCTCCCTGGGGTCAGCATCCAGGTTCTCAGTAGACACGTTCGATTCTGTCTGTTCGATGGCAATCGGGTAGGTTGTTTGGCTGTCAAAAAAAGTGTTAAGGAGGTGTGGATTTTTCAGGATCTTTCATGCTGTTGTTCCTCTGGTAGCCAGCTCCTCCAGTTGCCTCACTAAGAGGCATCTGCCTCCCAAGTTGCTTAACTTACTCTCCCATTCCACCTGGCTTGGCACTGGCCTGGGATCACACAGTGACATACATAACCTTGCTCTTACTTAGTGACACCACAGACACTTGGGCCCCCAGTGGCTTGGCTAGATGCTGGCACCTACACATACACGTGTTCAGAATAGAGAGCCCAGTCACCCAGAAAAATAGTTATAAATAGAGTTTAGTGAGGAAACGGGGTGGACCACACTGATCAGGTGCCCAGGCATGCATCCGAACCCCTTTTTTTCTCACCCTTGTTACTCCACAAAGCATCTTGATCCCTCCCTTTTTCTGCCTTTGGTTTCTCCCCTGACTGTCCCATAGTAAGTCATGTGCAGTCCCAAAACACCCTTCCCCTGCAGGCCAGTGCCTCCTGTTGACTCAAGGTGCTGGGAGTTACACCCAGCCCCTGAGGCTGTCCTGGGTAGCCCTGGGAGGGGTTGGGGTGGGAGCTCTGTTTCTCCAAGTCTGTAATTTCGGTTCCCCACCTGCCATTGTGCCTTTTTGCTCCTTTATGCTTGTATAGACTAGCCTTTTCTGGGCTGATCTCTCTCCTCTGATGGGCCTGGGAATAGCTGGGTCACATTCAGATTCCCCCACATGCTGTAGATCCTCTGTGCTCCTTTGTACGTTATGTGTAGAGCAGCTTTATATAACAGAATCTGACACTGACCATCTGACAAGTTTTCTTCCTGCTACACTGAACAGTCTTGGGAGCAAAGGGACTATTACTGAAGCAAGGAGAGTTGGAGAGTGCCCTGTGGCTTCAGAGAAAACTTCCTCTCTAGTCCTTTAAACTGAAACCATTCAATGAAGTGGAATTTTATCTTATTGCATGCAGAGTGTTGGATTAGTCTGAGATAATACTGCATTTTCTAACAGCTGCATAGCTTTACAGAAAATCTTGTCTTACCTTTTTGCACCACTTATAACATTTCAGGTGCTGAGTAACATTCACACAGTGAGAGCTACGTGGCAACATAAAAATCCTCAAACATGGACCTTTTCTCCAAGAGTAGGTATCATACTCGGGAAGTGATATAACCAGTAACAATCTATTTATAGCATCTGATACTTCTGGTATTTGTGTTGAAATTAAATGTATTGCAACCAAAATGAAGATGCAGAAAAGACTTGCTGAAGTGTATGAATTCAAGCTAAACCCAGTGCTTCAGCAAGACCACTTTGAGGAAAAGAGCTGGGGAAAAGAAAAGCATTGGGAGGGACTGGTGATCCAGCCCGTGGCACTGGATAACTTTGAAGCAAGGTAATTCAGTGGGTTTTGACATCTAAAGTTCTTTAATAGCTTATTATCACACACACAAAATGTGCAAACCTGGTATCATGGTGGTGTTTCATGGCAAGACAAAAGAATAAGGGGAGTAAGGTTTAAAGTGAAACTGATTCCCTACTTATCATTCTAAATGCAATGACATTGGGTTTGAGATCTTATGTGAATGACTGATGTGTTCAATGGCCTTTAAAAATCAAGAGGTACATTAACTTCCTTTTTTATATCCCTCTCTGTATTAGGTAACGGGCATTTTACCCAGCTTGCTTGATGGTGACTGTTTCATAAGGTCCAACTCTCTGTCTTCAGACATTGGTATATTATTTGAACTTGGCATCACTTATATTCGCCATGTAAGTGCATGAAGCTGCAGTATAAATCACTCCAACCACAGGTGTATAAAGTGAACCAGCTGTCCCTGACTGATGGGAAGTTGCAGTTTCCCAGCAGCAAACTGAGAGATCCAAAAGGAAATGTAGCTGAACTTTTCCTAGCTTACTACAAGACTCTCTTCCTTTTGTCTTCTGGGAGGAAGGAGAGAGATGTTGGGTTTTGGAACTTTCAGTTCCAGTCAATATTAAGAGAGTGAGATATTTCTGACACAAATGTACCTTTACATACACTGAAATAATTTCTCTTAGTCTGCCAAAGGTCTCGTGTAATGTCATTGCAAATGACCAGTTCTCTCTTCACTCCTGCATTGTTTTTCTATCTTTGTGATTCATTTCAGACTACCATGCTCTGTATTTTGAACCTAAAATTTTAATTGTTTAAATAGTATGGACACTGGTTTCTAGCTATGATTTGATACAGATATATCCTGCCCATCCATGATATGCTTCTGAAAAGTAACTGGGTAGTGATGCAATAGATGGTACAGCCCATAAGAACTACCATAATAGAAGGCAGGTGCATGCAGGAGTGTAAGAAACACTTAATATTTGGAGAATACAGAGGCTTTTTGGAACAGGTCACTGTTCAAAAGATCTCAGCCGTTCTGTCTACCAAACTGACTCGATCTTGCTGCCTCTTTCTGAACACTTAGACTTCCATTATGGACACAGTCAGGGTAATCCTGGCAATCACGTGAATCATAGATAAAAGATGGAAGGTGTGGTAACCACAAGAGTTATCAAGCAGGGTGTTAAATGGTGGGCAAGAGAATTCTGAAAAGATAGGTGGAGGAGTCGCAAGGGGGGGTATTGCTGTATTTTCTCTTTCACTAACACCTGCATGATCTGAGGGTGCAAGAGGGCAGTACCTGTGGAGATGTGGAGGAGAGACAGGCTGCTAGCATGGAGGGGCTGCAGAACTGTTGTGTGGGGAGATCAGTAGAGTGTAGATCTATAGGGGCCTGGACTATGTGACCTGGTGATGAATAGCATGTTGGTAAGTCATGGTTCACAGAGACCTACAGGGGCATAACGGCTGTCCTCATATTAATTTGAGTAGGTAAGATTATGCAAAGTTGTCTGCCTGTGTTTACAGAGTAAGTTTAAATGAAAACAAGTATTTACAAATTCCTGCCTGTTATTCCTGCTTTTGCCGTCTGGAAATGGATGGGCTAGCACACAGGATCAGCTCTGTTTCCCAGGCACTGTCTCTGGCACTATGAATAAAGCCTTCCAATGTGCAGGGTCAGGCTTGGAAACTTGACTCTGGAATCAGATGGGTAAATCCTCTGAGTAAATTGTTTTCCCTCCTTCTTTCTGTCCTGCATTCTTTGGAGTATCAGTGCAGGTTTGGGGGTTTTTACCTTTGTGCATTTCAAATTATTCAGGAAGTTGATATACTTAGGTTTCCCTGAAATGTGTGTCTCTTGGCTTAATAAATCCTTGTCTGTTGAGTATGTTCATGGATGATCAGCTTCAGCATATCTGTTTGTGCTGTTTGGTAAATATTTTCAAACACTTGCAAATGCAGCATAGTCAGTGTTTGCTTACTACAAATCTGCAATTATTGTTTGTAATTCAGGTACTCATCAGGCATGTGTCATTATATTTCAGCATTCTATAAAACAGTAAAAGTGGAAAACCTTAAAAGCATAAACTCAAGAAGGAGAATCAGAAAAGCACTCTTGAAAACGCCTGCATGACTATGACACTTGCAGAAGAGCAAATAGACTGGCAACTCAGTTTAGGAGAGCAGTCTAGATCTCCATCTGAATACTAGTTTGGAGATAAACCTTATCAGTTATTCAGGTTGAGCAAGACACCTTCGTGTATTAACATAGACACATCAGAAGTCAGTGTAGCTAATTACAGAGGTGACATCTACACTGACTGAGGCAGATTTCAGTCTCTATTCATGCCCAAGCTGTACCACCTATGGTTGCACCCATTTTAAACAGGCTGCACTGGTCACCACTCTTACCATTTTTCCCCTCTGCTGAGCGGATCTGGTTTCACGGAGGCTGAACACATTCCCACACACAGATATCTCTCTCCTTACCTCTGGCTAAGAGTCTACTGTTAATTCATAATGGGGATGCTATTCAAGTTGTTTACATTTCTCTTTTTTTTTTTTCCTAGTCAACAGGTGAAAGAGGAGAGCTAAGCTGTGGCTGGGCATTTCTGAAGCTTTTTACTTCTAATGGAATGCCTGTTCCCTCCAAGTAAGCTATTTATGTTTTCCTTCTCTCTCTCTCTCTGTATTTATAGCTGTATGTCTATAAACCTATTTTAGGCTAGGAGTAAAGCTCATGTTTCATACTTACACACTGATGGGGGCAGGTGTAATCCAGACTCATGTGCAGGGTGTACTGGGTCTTTTCAGGGAGGATGCTGGTCCTGCTTCCACACCCCAAGTATGTTCTATTAAGTTTGTGTGGGAAAAGTGCTCCCTGCACCCAACATTCAGGTTTGAAATGTTGCAAGTTATTGTGTATTTAAAAATATTCTTTGGTGGAATTTTAAAACTATGCAATGTTAATGGGGAGTTCTGTAGGGTTATATTTATACAAAATAGAGTAATTACCTAAATTGAAGATGACAACATCCTTTTTAATTCTGACCTCTTCTTTACGTATGCTTTGCTGTAAAACCCTTTCCCATTTAAAATTTAGGAGATCAGTTTCTAAGTCTTGGAAGCAGGTAAGAGTTCTTGTGAATGAACTTTCCATTTACTTGGAGAGTGTGAAGAAGCTTATATTTTGCAGATGATTTATGACTAGCTCATGGGTTCAACAATCTTAAATAATAAAATGTACATATTTTATTAAATGTAGGGAACTATTCCAATAATTTACAGAAATGACTCACTGTAGAGCAAATTTTCCATACTTTTTTTTTTAACCAAGTATATGTATATAGATATAGGTATTCTGAGTATGTTTGGAGTATAGGGCAAAAAAGAATACCCACAGAAGACACCTACTGATCTAGAATTCTCTAAATATCTTCTAAATCTCATCTCTAACATTGTTTTTCTATTTAATTGAGTTAAACGTATCTACAGAATGAAATTACATGTTTACTTCAACAGTGACTGACTTACGCTTGACAGATCTGGGACTACATTCTTCAGTGTTTTAAATCTTCCATATCTAAAATGTGCTACATAAGCAATGACTCCTGAAAAACATTTTAGTGAAACAACTGTTGAATTTCATATAAGAAAAATATTGGAGTTATCTGGAAAAGAATAAATGTTGCTAATGTCTTTGAAAATAATTAACTAGTTTCTCACTGTATTACAGGTTTCAAATTTATTATTTGTGGTTTGATTACTCAATGAGGTGTTGTCATTTCATATAAAATACTAGTCAGAACCTCAAGCACAGTGTCAGTTTTTAATTTGAAATAATGCATTTCTTTCTTTCTTTATCAGAGAGCAGTTGTGCTGCTCTGACATATCCTTACACCATTTGATTTTAATTGTGCTGCTCTTCTTTCACAGGATGTATGAGCTGCTAATACAGGGGGGTACTCCCTATGAGAGAGGCGTTGAGGTTGGCCCATCAATATCAAGAAGAGGTGTGGTTTCTCCTAAATATTATATGAATGAAAAGATACAAATGCTATACTTATTTTACAACACTCAGTGCTCAGCCAGGGCTTTGCAGTCACCACAGCCTGGATTTGTCTCATATGTTCCTATTTTGCAGAAGAGAGAGTTGATTGTCAGGGCTGGTGGGATTCAGAACTATCTGCCAGTGCTCATGTTTCTGTCATTTCCTGTGTCGGCAGGTTGAGGGCTTATTCTGAGAAACTTATTTAACTATATTTTACTTACCTCTGCATTACTCTAGGCATATTGCAAGTCCACCATCCTAGAGAGAGATAACAGCTCATGTTGGACTAAATGTTGATACGGCTGATATATTTTCAGGTGTTCAGTTCCTTCGGGTTGTTAGACCAGCCTTAAACCATTACAGTATTAGAAAACACTTCTTGCCAAATTTAAATGTCCATTCTTGTAATATAATTCTCAATGTTCTTTCAAACTGACAGATTTCACAGCAGGTATTTATTTCTTAAACAGGCAGTGGTGTTTTTCATCAGTTTATAGCACTCAAGAAACAGCCAGTGCTTGTGGTGAAACTGAGGTCATTAAGTGCGCAGTCAAAAGACATCCTGAAGTAAGTATGTACCTGTGCTGCCATTAAATGAGAAAGTATTTGACAGCCTAGAATGGTTCCAGAAGTGTTGCCCTTCCCTGAAACACTGGCTATGGTTGTGTAACCTGCATGTTGTACTTGATCTCTGTTTGACACTCTAGAGCCATTTTGTTGAAAACAACTAAAAAGGCTTTAAGTTAAGATAATATTGAAAACCACAACAGCAGGAGCCTGGCTGTTACAGCTTTATCAGTGTCCACCTAGATTCAGGGAGATGCGAATACGAGCTAATCATCTCCATTAAGTTGTCATTATTCCTGAGCTTTGGTGAACAATGCTTTATAGGGCCAGTTTTTAATAAAATTCTCAACTGCATGTTGTTTATTTTCCCAATAGTTTGCTACCAGAAACATTAATTGGCAGCATGTGCTACATCCACCTCCTGATACTTTATCGACAAATACTTGGTGATGCACTCCTGAAAGACAGGATAAGCGTGCAAAGCACAGGTAAGAATTGCTGTTGTGGAGAAGAAGCCAGTAATGGAGAGTGTGTTGGAGAAAGGTCAGGTTCCCAAAGAGAAGGACTCTCTCCAGAGCCTCCAATTTGTAAGTGAAAGCAGGGGCCTGCAGGAGCAACTCATTGATATAGAGTAATGGTAGAATTTTGTTCCCTGGTGTTGCTGGCCCTGACCAACCATCTGTCGTGGTTTGGGCTTAGCCCAACAACAACGAACCAGCCGTGTGGCCGTTCACTCCCCACACACACACATGCACACTGGGAGGGGGAGGCCAAAGGCCAGCTAGAAACTTGTGGGTCAAGACAGGGAGGGTGCCCTCACTTGTTACGGTCTTGGGCAAAACAGACTCAACTTGGGGAAAAATAGTAATAATTTAACACTAATCAAACACACCCAGGACACAGACAACACACACAGCAGGGCTTGCATATGTTACCTCCACCCCTCCCTTCTTCCCAGGCCCAAATCACTTTGTTCCCGGTTTCTCTCCCTCCTTCCCCACAGTGGCACAGGGGGACAGGGGATGGGGTGTAGAGTCAGTTCATGGGCTGGTGGTTCCTGCTGCTCCTTCCACCTTGGGGAGAAGGATTCCTTACAGTACTCTCCTATTTCCCTGTGGTGTCCCTTGCATGGGAGAGAGTACTTCACAAACCTCTCCAACATGAGTCCTTCCCACAAGGTACAGTCTCTCAGGAACAAGCTGCCGCAGGGCTTCCCACAGAGCCATGGGAACAGTCACCTTCCCTGGCACTGGGGTCATCCACGGCTGCAGATCCAAGTCCATGGGCTGCAGGTCCACATTTGCCCCTCCTGGAGCCTTCAGGGGATGCTCCACCATGTTTCTTCTCCATGGGGCACAGGGGGGGCAGCCTGCCATCTCACCATAGGCTGCAGGGGAACTTCTGCTCAGGCACCTCCTTCCACCCTGGCACTGCTTTCACCTCCAGCTCAGCAGTTCTCCCCTGCTCTGACATATCCTTACACCATTTGATTTTAATTGTGCTGCTCTTCTTTCACAGGATGTATGAGCTGCTAATACAGGGGGGTACTCCCTATGAGAGAGGCGTTGAGGTTGGCCCATCAATATCAAGAAGAGGTGTGGTTTCTCCTAAATATTATATGAATGAAAAGATACAAATGCTATACTTATTTTACAACACTCAGTGCTCAGCCAGGGCTTTGCAGTCACCACAGCCTGGATTTGTCTCATATGTTCCTATTTTGCAGAAGAGAGAGTTGATTGTCAGGGCTGGTGGGATTCAGAACTATCTGCCAGTGCTCATGTTTCTGTCATTTCCTGTGTCGGCAGGTTGAGGGCTTATTCTGAGAAACTTATTTAACTATATTTTACTTACCTCTGCATTACTCTAGGCATATTGCAAGTCCACCATCCTAGAGAGAGATAACAGCTCATGTTGGACTAAATGTTGATACGGCTGATATATTTTCAGGTGTTCAGTTCCTTCGGGTTGTTAGACCAGCCTTAAACCATTACAGTATTAGAAAACACTTCTTGCCAAATTTAAATGTCCATTCTTGTAATATAATTCTCAATGTTCTTTCAAACTGACAGATTTCACAGCAGGTATTTATTTCTTAAACAGGCAGTGGTGTTTTTCATCAGTTTATAGCACTCAAGAAACAGCCAGTGCTTGTGGTGAAACTGAGGTCATTAAGTGCGCAGTCAAAAGACATCCTGAAGTAAGTATGTACCTGTGCTGCCATTAAATGAGAAAGTATTTGACAGCCTAGAATGGTTCCAGAAGTGTTGCCCTTCCCTGAAACACTGGCTATGGTTGTGTAACCTGCATGTTGTACTTGATCTCTGTTTGACACTCTAGAGCCATTTTGTTGAAAACAACTAAAAAGGCTTTAAGTTAAGATAATATTGAAAACCACAACAGCAGGAGCCTGGCTGTTACAGCTTTATCAGTGTCCACCTAGATTCAGGGAGATGCGAATACGAGCTAATCATCTCCATTAAGTTGTCATTATTCCTGAGCTTTGGTGAACAATGCTTTATAGGGCCAGTTTTTAATAAAATTCTCAACTGCATGTTGTTTATTTTCCCAATAGTTTGCTACCAGAAACATTAATTGGCAGCATGTGCTACATCCACCTCCTGATACTTTATCGACAAATACTTGGTGATGCACTCCTGAAAGACAGGATAAGCGTGCAAAGCACAGGTAAGAATTGCTGTTGTGGAGAAGAAGCCAGTAATGGAGAGTGTGTTGGAGAAAGGTCAGGTTCCCAAAGAGAAGGACTCTCTCCAGAGCCTCCAATTTGTAAGTGAAAGCAGGGGCCTGCAGGAGCAACTCATTGATATAGAGTAATGGTAGAATTTTGTTCCCTGGTGTTGCTGGCCCTGACCAACCATCTGTCGTGGTTTGGGCTTAGCCCAACAACAACGAACCAGCCGTGTGGCCGTTCACTCCCCACACACACACATGCACACTGGGAGGGGGAGGCCAAAGGCCAGCTAGAAACTTGTGGGTCAAGACAGGGAGGGTGCCCTCACTTGTTACGGTCTTGGGCAAAACAGACTCAACTTGGGGAAAAATAGTAATAATTTAACACTAATCAAACACACCCAGGACACAGACAACACACACAGCAGGGCTTGCATATGTTACCTCCACCCCTCCCTTCTTCCCAGGCCCAAATCACTTTGTTCCCGGTTTCTCTCCCTCCTTCCCCACAGTGGCACAGGGGGACAGGGGATGGGGTGTAGAGTCAGTTCATGGGCTGGTGGTTCCTGCTGCTCCTTCCACCTTGGGGAGAAGGATTCCTTACAGTACTCTCCTATTTCCCTGTGGTGTCCCTTGCATGGGAGAGAGTACTTCACAAACCTCTCCAACATGAGTCCTTCCCACAAGGTACAGTCTCTCAGGAACAAGCTGCCGCAGGGCTTCCCACAGAGCCATGGGAACAGTCACCTTCCCTGGCACTGGGGTCATCCACGGCTGCAGATCCAAGTCCATGGGCTGCAGGTCCACATTTGCCCCTCCTGGAGCCTTCAGGGGATGCTCCACCATGTTTCTTCTCCATGGGGCACAGGGGGGGCAGCCTGCCATCTCACCATAGGCTGCAGGGGAACTTCTGCTCAGGCACCTCCTTCCACCCTGGCACTGCTTTCACCTCCAGCTCAGCAGTTCTCCCCTGCTCTCTCTGCACTCAGGGTCTTATATCAGTTCTTTCATGTTACTCGCAGAGGCATCTGTTGGCCCTCTCTAATGGCCTTGGCCACCTGAATGGGGGGAGCTTTTAGTAGCTTCTTACAGAAGCCACCCCTGGGCCATCTTCCCTGCTATCCAAACCATGCCAAAACCAAAGCAGCACACCATCCCACAGGGTTAGGAAGTTACGCTCCCTGTGTAGAGGATTTCGGTGTTTGAACTTGCAGTCTGCAAGTGTTGTGGAGACAAACAGGAATCTGTTGTCCCTTGAATAAAAAGAGAACACCCTTTTCCTGTGAATGCCACTACTCAGTGTGTTTGCATTTCAAACCCGTCATATTTCGACTGACATTGGTTCACATCCAGGACGCAAAACCCACAAGAATACCTTTGTTTTCTGTGGAGTATGAATGAGGTGTTTTCAGTGAAATCCTAATTTTTAAAAAGCCTGTGTGGATAGGTAAAGGGTCATTTTTAAATATATAAAAATAAATAACAAGCAAATGTAGGTAAAGGATTATCTGCAAGAAGTGTTTCCTCTTTGCCACCCACTCAATGAGCGATTAGACATATACACAGGTTTACTCATTCATTTATACTGTATGTGTGTTCTCTGAGTGAGAGAAGAGATTAGACAGATGGTTTTGTCATTAAGGCTAAGTCAGCCTCTTTTTTTTTTTTTAATTCATATTTACTCACTGGCTAATGCAGCAGAGAGACACAGAAATGGAAGAGTTCTGGTTTTAGAACTCAGTATCTTGCTACTCTGTATCTTATTTCTTTCACATTTTTCCTTTGACAGAATTGTCATAGTTTAGTCTTCCCTATTTTAAAATCAATTTGAAATATGCAAAAATTCCATTTCTTACCTGCACTATAGGTTAATTTCTGTTATTTTCTTATGTGTTCTCCAGTCTCTTCTCTAGACTGAATTATGTATGAACTGTTCCTATGGCAAATAAATTTGCCTGTGCACTTACTAACATTTTACACTTACTATCTTTAGCCCTACTTAGGCATCTGAATTGAAAGTTCATCTTTCAAAGGTACTCAGAACTTAACTCCCTTCCTGGTTTTCTTGAACTTTAATATACATTCTCAGGATACTGACATCAGCATCTGACAGTCCAACGCTTTAATATATTCATGCTTTATTTAATAAACTTATAATAGTAAAACAAAAAGTACTTAATTTTTAAAGGCCAGTTGAGAACTGCTACACTTACTTGATTTGATCTCTATAATATAGGACAACGTATCAGGCTGATGACCTCTTCTGGAGCTACATTACATCCACTTACATTCAGACTTCATCAGAAATTATTTAAAGGCTTTATTCCAGCATTTCAGAGGCTGTTCTTTTTTACTGGTGGAAAAAAAAAAAGATTCTCGAATTTAAAAAATCAACTATCACTTTAGAAATAGGCAAGTTAAAATGCCTGTTACATTTCACAAAAGCAATCAGTTCTGCCTTGTTTCCATTAAATGTTTTGTTATTAGTAAATGTTTAGTGTTTGCTAAACTTCCCATCAACTTCAAAATTAAGAAACAACACTGTACATGAAATATTTAAAATCACAAGAAGAAGAAACCACGTTGACCCAGAATTCCTCTATCTGTCACTTGTAGCACTCTTGTAATCTTATCCACAATAATCTCATGAACTAAAGTAAGGACAGAACTGCTGAGCCACTGGGGTTCAAGATTTGCTGTGCTTAGTAACAGAGCTTTGATTCCTGTCAGTCATGGGGAGGCAGCTCTGCCCTGCCGGGGTTTGATACAGCTCAACTTAGAGACCCAACCATTACCTGGTAGCCAACCTGAAAGGCACACAGCAGACTCTGCAGCTTGATGCTGTGCCCCATTTAGTAACTTTACTATGCTGCATGTTATCTTAAAATCACACAGAGCACAAGCCAGATCAAAGGAGAATGAAGGTGTGTTTAGTCATAATATCCAAACCGGGCAGAGCCATTTCAGATGTTTATAACAAAGACAGGTGCAGAAATGAGGAAAACCACCTCAGTCTGCCCTTAGGTTTGCTCAGTAAGGTCTCTTGCTTGCTGGCTTCTCCTAATAAACTAGCAATTGATTTTTGTGTCTCTCCTCACTCAGGTCTCTCAGCCACCTAGAGTTTGCTCCTGTCAGAGAATGCAGTTGTTTTAGCTTTTCTACCTTCCCTGCTGCTCTGAAGAACTATGACAGCAAATTTTTCCTTTGAAATATTCTGAAGGGAGGGATGGGTTGAATACCTTGATGTGGTGATACCTTGAAAACCATCCTGTTTCTTCCTTAGCCTTGGATGTGTTTGTTTTCTGTTTCAGATTTAATCTGTAATCCTATTTTAGCAACTTTCCCTCAACTCTTGGATGAACCAGACCTGATGGATGCACTCCGGGTATGTTATCTGCATAGTGTTCAATTCCTGATGTGTCAAGATTTCCAAGTCATTGGCAAAATTTGAGCCTTTTTTACCCTGTGAAAAGATAAATGGAAAAGCCGAGCTGCAGAAAAGCTATAGTAATTTCCAGTACATGCAGATCTCTTGTGTCTTAGTGCCTTCAAAACTGCAAGAGAATGCTAGAGTACATTCAGAAGGGATGCAAAGGCATGAATTGGCTTGTTTGAGCACTACTAAGCCATGCAGCCACAGCAAGAGAGAACTCAGCTGGATTAGCTCCTCTGAATGTTTGTCTGGCTTGTAGGACAGTGCTGCCTTTGTCACAGGTAGGAGCTGCGTGAGCTTCTGCCTGGCAGGACAGCACTCACTGCATTTACACTGCACTCCCTCGTAGGTGTCCTAGTGCCAGACAAGAACAGCTGACGTGTTTGTGCCCAAAGGACACAACTGTTAGAAGCTGTCAGCCCTTGGGGTTCAGCTGTATTTCTCCATACTTGTGGGGTGGAAAAAAATCAGCCTTCGTGGTGATTGATTTGTCTGAAAAGTGGATTCCCTTGATTTAATTTATATGGCTCTGATGGTTTCACATCTCCAAATCCTCGCATCTGTAAAATCTGGTGGAATGGCTGTTTGCTTAAATCAATGGCACAAGGGGGGAATGGGGGGAGTGTGAGGAAAGTGGGACTGCAACAGGAAGTTCAACTACTGTGGGACTGAAGAGAGATTTTTGCAGCTAAAACTGGAATTGCTTTGTATCTCTACAGTCTCAGTCTGATTTTATATTTAATTTCATTTTAGAGTGCTTGGGCAGATAGAGAAAGAAAGCTGAAGAGATCTGAGAAGGTAATAAATTACAGGTTTTTCTTTGACATATATTCAATCTCATTTGAACTAGAAGCTTTCTGTCAGTTTACTATACATTCATGTAGAAAATGTAGATACACTGAATTAGCAGTTCTTAACTTTTCTTCCCTGTATTTGTAACAAAAGTAGGAGATGAAGGAATATGAAATTAACTTGTAACTTCTTGTCTCATTGTTTGTATATAGCTGTTAGTGGGGAAGCTATTACAGGTTCATACCCTAAGCAGGGCTCCCTTTCATGGTATGCTTCAAGTATCTGACTGGTAAAAGCTTTCCACTGGTACAAAAGGGGCCCTGTATGTCCACAAAGTAATAATTCCTTCTCCAACCTCTGAGCTCTTGTCCTTCTACAGTCTGCCTGGAAAAAGGCCCCCAAATTCCACAAATCTCCTTCCCTCAGACAATTGTAATCTCACAGCTGGAGAAAAGTTGAATTGGCTGTGTCACCATGCTTACCTGTACCTTATCCTACCTCCTGCCCTCTGGATAAAGAGAAGCTGCAGGTAACTGAAGAAGAAAAGCATTTGCTTTTGATTGAAGGATCACCTGAGAGCAGCAGCAGGATATTTCATTCCTTGTGCATGCTGAGTGGATACACAAGGAGATCTCCCCAGTTATGCAAACAAACCAAACC